GCTGGAATGAGAGTTAAAATCCTGGCATAAGCAACGGAGTGGGTCGTGCAATTCAAAATTGGTTTTACAAGCTTTCAGAAATATGGGACAAAAGTGTCTTGATACGCGTGACGGAACATTAAAGCTTACATTAGCCAGAAGAGACGGACTTGAAATTGAGCCTGTCAGTAATTTAACCATAAAAATTATACCAAGCATTTCCCTGCGACTGGCAAGTGTAGGAAGGTTAATAAGTTTTAAGCGACTCGTATAAGGTGGAAGACTATATTGAGAATCCCATCGGAAATTTCTTAAAGCAAAAAGTAGGAATTGTTTTTGAATTGATTCTATCTTGTCTGAGTAAATTTGGACAAAAAAACTTCTAAAAGATCAACGGTAATTTTTAATTACCTGAAACTTCTACTTTATTATAGGGTCTCTCCATCTCAAATCACCTAGGCCGATGGAAAGTGAATTTAAGTTTGTGATAAAACTCACAGGGATTGTTCCTTGAACAATTTAAGGCGACAAGTAATTATTTCTTTTTGCTCAGAAATTCGAATTTTTCGAAAAATTAATTTTTTTCTTTTGGAGTACGCTCAAACTTTTTTGTCTACTAGGGAATAGTATAAACTATTTTCAGACGAGTATCAAATATGCTAAAATTCCTCGTTTTCGAGTTATTATTTTCTTTTTTCTAAAAACGCTTTTATATGATGCTAGCAGTTTTTCGTGGCAGTTGAGAGCACAATCATTTTTGCCGTTGCTGGAAATTTTTTGAGATCGCCCGACCAGAGCCAATAGTTTTTCCAAAATGGGCACCAAATTTGGCCCGATTGGGACCCAATTAGGAACAAGGTCGAAATGACACGCGATTTGCCCAATCTACCGAAGAATTTTTTTTTTTCTTGGAAAACTTTTAACATTTTGATAAAAAAAAAATAGTTTTTGAAAATATGTCATCTAAAAAAATTAAAAAAAATCACAATGGTAGCTCTGAGTATTATTGCCCAATATTCAAGTATAGTGTTATGGGGTGCATTCTACAATAATTTGAGTTATGAATTTTTTTTACACCGAAGTTGAGTAATTATCAAATTTTTTAAATTTTGTTTAGAATATTTTTTTATGCTGACGGCTTCTTGCACTTTTTCCTTATGGAAGAAAATGCGTAAAACCGTTTTCAAAGACAATTAAAAAAAAATTAACGCCAGTTTCGCAATATTCAAAAAATTCTAAAAAAAAGTTTAAAAAATTTGTAAATTTGTAATGAACTCATTTTACTCAACTTCGATGTAAAAAAAATTTACAACGCAAATTATTGTAGAGTGCACCCCATAATACTATGCTTAAATATTGCGCAATACTCAGAGTTACCATCGTAATTTTTTGGAAACGCTCTTCAAACACCTCAAAAATATTGTACTTGCTCAAACTGAAGATTTCTTAACACTCTTGCTGACACAAATATTTTAATATTTCATATACATACATAACTTTTGTATAGGAAGTGGCATTACCCTTCAAAATATTTTCAAACTGATTTTTAGTTCATTTTAATCCGTCCATAATTCTGTTCTTGCCGCCACTCTATATGGAAGGGAAGCACTGTGCGCTATTTCCATAATTTTGGTTGTTGGACGGAATCGAGCTTGGGTTCGCGGCCACCGCAGCCGCTGTCACCAGCAATTAGCCTTTCATAATATCTTCTTTGTGGTTAAGTTAAAAATGGTTTACCAAATGAATCGGTTAATTACCAAAAGCAATAAGTCAGCATTTTTCCGATTAGGAAAATTCGGTTCAACCGAGCTCCTTTAAGGTTCAGTTAGTCTAGACTTAATTTACGTAATGTAACCTATTGTATTGGCGAACGCAATATATTTTTGTCCAGGAAAATTTTGGTTTATCAATCAGCGGAAAATGAAAATACAAAACCAAAATATGTATTTTCGCTTCCGGCGTGTATTGACATTTTGAGTAATCATTGCCGATTTTTTGCGCAATTTAAGCTAAGTCTAGACTAGTTGAAACTTTAAATGAACCGAACTGCATCAAAATTATCATATCCAAAAAAATTATGGTGTCTCAACTTATAGTTACTTTAAAAAGTTCAAATTTATAATACTATGTTAAAAAATAAAAATTCTTTTAGTTTATTGAAAAGAACTTTTTTGAGAATGAACATGAATATAAAATAAGTTAATAGTAAAAAAAAAATATTTTTAAAGCAAGTTTTATAAATATGAACGAAATTGGACAATAAATACTGGTTTACCAAGGATATCGACTCGTGCGCCACATATCAGCAAAATTTTTAATGGAGTTATTTCTTTTCATGTAGTTAATATGCGTTATAAATATGAACCAAATCGGACTATAAATACGGGGTTTTCAAATATCTTGACTCCTGAGCAACCTATCGGATTTATACACATCTTTCGTATTGCATTGTCATCGGCTTCTGAGCCAATTGTTAAGTGTCAGTGAAGAAAAGGGAGGTTTGTCTAAAATTTAATGAAGGATTTGTCCCTAACAAACATACTTACATACATACATACATACATATAGAGCAAGTTAAATAAAAGCTTGTAAAAATGTTCTCATTTGAAAGGCGACATAACAGAGCATTCTAGTAAATAAAATTAGAGCTAATTCAAGGCAAACAATAAGATTTTTATATTAAATAGGGTCCCGGCGACAATTTATTGCAAAATCAGCAACGATGTAATTTCGTTAATGATTAAGTGCCTACATATGTATGTACATACATATAAACATTAACATAATTTATCTTCATACATAACATACATACATACGTCTGGGTGTTTTTATAATTGCACCCTCTAACAAGAATACAAAACTTAGAGGCCAAGGTCACAGGCAACACAACAGCTGTCGGTTATTCAATGGGTCAATATGCCAGTCAGCCAGACATCTTAATAGACAGTCAGTGAGTTTGATTGCTAAGAGAGTCGAAGTTCTGGAATTCGACTACATATTACACATCTGTATGTATATGTACTAGGGATGTTGCGAATGTGGAATTCTAAACATCCGCGGATGCGAATGTACAAGTTGAGAGGACTTTCAGTTATATTTATATATTTTTTATTGCGGTGCAATAATTCCTTTTTGAGCTGCAAATATCGGATGTATCCTCCTGACTTTCATCTTCACTATCTAGCATCATCGCAAGATCGATGCGTCAACACCGTTGTTTTCCAAAGAATTCTTCATTCTCATTCTTTTGGTTGTTTCGGAATTTGGAGAACCTGTAATGTCATTAGCGTTTCTCGATTTTAGTTTTTGTAATTCACTTTTAATCCTTTCTTCTGTGACTGGCCAGATATACGTTTTATCAGTGTACTTGCACAATATTCCAGGGACCGAAAATAACAGTTATTGTTTTACGAGTTAAACTTGACATAATATTTGTTTATTCCGATATAAAAGTCCTTTCCGGATAATAAACAAACCGCTTATCCAAATTGAACAAATTCGGATGAAAATTACCCGACGAAGGTTGTTTTTATTTTTTTTTTGTTATTTTTTTGGCCTTTATAACAATTATATTCAACAATTTATATTGAGCTCGAGGCCGTTTTAAATGAAAATTTTTTTGTGGAAAAGCAACAATAATTTGAAAAAATGGTAGAAGTGATAGCTATTTCGGAAATCACCACATTTCCTCATCAGACTTCTTTCTTTATATATAATTTAATACTCAAAAAATTCATATACCTGACCCAGGGTTTGTTCTATGGTAATTAATTAAACATTTAATTCCTATTTCATTTGATACCAAACGTGCTTAATTTGGAGAAGTGGTGTGTTTATTATCCGGAAAGGGCTTTTATTTCGGAATAAAAAAATATTTGGCCAAGTTTAACTCGTAAAAAAAATTACTGTTATTTTCGGTCCTTTCAATATTCGCATTCGCAAAAGATCCGCATTGATTATTGCGATTGCGAATGCGAATGTTAAAATTAATGCGGAAGATCCTCGGTTGCGAATGCGAAGGCGAATATTCGCAACAACCCTGGTATGTACATATGTACAGATGTGTTAGTGTACATACATATCTATAAATTGGTATACATCTATGTACATATGTATGAACATATGCATCTTAATGTATAGTATATACCTATAAACATTTTAGTATATAAATAAACTGCACGCCTACTTTGCCTCAGTGTTTGTTCGAGTGCATTTCAATTGGTGCAGCGACTTTTTTTTCAAAATCGTATTGCGAGAGCAAACATCACTCAGTGTACATAGGGACGGATCGAAAATATAAGACAACAAAAATGTTTACTCCACATATATTTGACGGATATCAATGCAATTTGGTATTTAGGGATTTTCATCATCACTGATTTCGAATAATAAAATAAAATTTCCAAAATTCATAATGGCGGATCCAATATGGTGGGCGATTCCTTAAAAAATGCCTATTGTCACCGCCACTGTAAGGAAGTCAGTGTGAAGTAGAGCGTGCAAGAGACTGCACATAGAAGCGTCGGACGGTCCATTCAATTAATACCATTTTTTTTATTGTTAACTTTCTACACATACTCTATGTATAAACTTTAACTGCTGAATTATAGTTAAATACATATTTATAATTTTACCACTTGGTGTTCTGGCTTTTACACCTCAGAAGTGAGATTTTATCTCAAAAGCCAAGGGTTGGGCAGTTGCGCTGTAGCACTGAGGCAGTGCAAAGTTTTCAACGCATAAGCAGTAGCTAAAGGGAAAAGCAAAAAGTTGAAAAGCGTTGAGAGTGGATTCAACGGGGACAAAAATACATAAAAAGAAGAGCGGAATAGAACGAATAGCGAAAAATAGAAGGTTCTAGAATTTTTTTCGAATTCAACGGTTCGTTGCGACAGAAGCGAGCGACGTGCTGGTTTTGGAGTGCTTGTAAAGACGTATTAATTTTGACTGCGAAAATGAATAAAGTTAAATTAAGTTCTTTAAAAGTAGAACAATTGAATAGATTGTTACAAAGTCAAAACATGCGAGTAGTTGGAAATAAGGCGGCCAAATTAGCCAAGTTGGCGGAAATATATCCCGAGGATGAAATCGACGAGGATGAGCTTGAGTTGGAGGGCGAAACAGCAGGTGCTCGACAGCAGATCGACGAGTTACGTAGTGCTATAGCAGAATTAACAAAGACGGTGGGTGAGTTGGTGACATCGCGTAGAAATGAAGTTGCAGATTCCAGTGCAAGTCAACCGCTCCACAATATTTCATCAACGCCATCGCAGGAAGGTGAAATCCCAACCGTAGCACGAGCATGCGCAGTACCGTCGCAGCCACACACGTCGAATAACTTACGTGAAATATATGCTCTTATGCCGGAATTTGATCCACTGAAGAACAACTTGAGTAGCCAAGTTTTTATAGAGAAAGTAACACAGCTGCGCAGAGCGTACAAGCTTACTGAACAAGAGGGTTTGGTGGCAGCGCAGGCAAAGCTTAAGGGCATTGCGAAGGAGTGGCTGGATTCACAAGAAGTTTTTCAGTCATGGTCGGATTTTGTGCGAGCGTTTGAGCACGATTTTCCAGCATCGATTACATCAGCAGAGGTGCACCGCAATATGGCACAACGGAAACGTCAACCCAAAGAAACGTTCGAGGAATATTATTATTCAATGTTGAGCATTGGAAGACGCGGTCGGATGGACGAAGAGTCGATCAACGCATACGTCTTCGCTGGTTTGAACGACGCATCATTGACACGCACGTTACTGGCGTTAAAGCTATCTACATGTAACGACTTACTGCGGTCATTGAAGGGTATGGTTATCGGTCCAACACAATCGAAAGTAAGCACGATGGAAGAAAAGAGTTCCAATGAGTCAAGTTCTAGAGCAACGGGGGACAGAAAACCGGTAAAGTGTTTCAATTGCAACCAATACGGGCACATTGCATCAAAATGTTCTCAACCCCAACGGAAGCCAAAGTGTACGAAGTGCAACAAGGTAGGTCATGAAGCGCAGGCATGTCGAAACGAAAGACCAACGGTGGCAAAGGTAGCGGATGACTCCAAGCGAATAACGAATGCAGCCATTAAAGATGTAACTTGGAATGGCAAGCAGTTTAGAGGTTTACTCGATACGGGAAGTGATGTATCACTAGTCGCAGCATCAAAGGTTCCAGATGAAGTGGCACGACATCCAGCCATGAAACGACTCGAAGGGTTTGGAGGAGCAGTTATAACGAGCACAGAGTTCATCGAAGCGGAGTTGGTCGTCGATGGAGTAACGATAGTGACCACTTGCCATATCGTGCCAGATAAGTTTATGCCGTATGATGTAGTAATTGGTTGGGATGTATTACGCAAAGAAAGTTGCAGGTTAACCGCCGAGGGTGGCGTCATGCAGGTACATCACCGAAGCGATGCAACATTTGTTGTCAATGAGGCATTGAACGCAGCAGATTCCCGAAATGTTAAAGATTTGTTGCGGAAATATACAAACTGTTTTACGGAGGGCTTGTCCGACTTGGAACGATGTAAGACGACGGAGATGGAAATCATCATCACCACAGATCAGCCAGTGATTGATAGGCAGTATCAAGTCCCGCTGTATCAACGTCCAACGTTAACGAAGATCATAAATGACCTGCTAGCGCATGGCATTATCAGGCCGAGTTCGTCACCGCACGCAGCACCGGTGATTATTGTCAAAAAGTCGAATGGTGAAGACAGAATGTGTGTCGACTACCGGGCACCTAACTCTGTCACAGTGAAAAAGCATTTCCCGATGCCAATTGTGCAAGAGCAATTAGCTAAGCTCGTAGGCNTCAATTCTGTCACAGTGAAAAAGCATTTCCCGATGCCAATTGTGGAAGAGCAATTAGCTAAGCTCGTAGGCAACACAGTTTTCACTACTTTGGACATGACCGCTGGTTACTACCAAATTCCGTTAAAGGAAGACAGTAAACAATATACGGCATTTTTGACCCCAGAGGGCCTATTTGAACATAANCAAATTATTTTAACACGTACTCTTATGTAGATAATTATTTTGGCGACGACCGGGCTACGCGACGGCTGTGGTTGTGGCCAGATTAGATCTATTTCTATTTTTCTGGCGACAGATAAGGTTCTTCCTCTTCTTTTATGTCAAACTCATACAAATTCATGATGTCGCTGCCGCGTTCAAAGAAATCATGTTGCCATCAACAAAGCGCTTAGATAATAAAGATGACAAATTGGAAGCTGTGGTCGGTTGCTCGTCGTTTTCAATGTGTTCAGAACTTAACGTAATGCCATTCGGTCTACGTAACGCGCCTATGGTCTTCCAAGAGATGATAATTAAGTTGGTGAGAGGTTTAAAACACCGTATTCAGATCGTTAGTTACGTAGACGAAGTTATCATTGCAACGAAGACGGTAGACCATAACATCGAGGTATTAGCTGAGTTTTTACAGTCGGTGAAGGACTCAGGACTTACGTTAAGACCATCAAAGTGTAATTTTCT